GCACTAAATAATTGCAATTAATAGGTTTAATACAACAAAACAATACAGCTGTTATATAATTTCCTATAGCATAAATAGTGTGTAATAAATAACCGTAACACAGCATTAGCAAAACGCTATTAAAGGCTAGTCTACGATAGCGTCCTCCGAAAGCGCTATCGTATATAGGGACTCTATTATAGCGGTCGATTTCATAGCATTTATAAAACCGCTATGGATACCATATAATAGCGATATCCGTGTGCTATGAAAAACCATATTTGTTGTAGTGTCCTTTTGCTTTGACTAGGGTTACAAGATCCTCGAACCTCTCCAGATTGTCCATAGGATAATCATGGGGCAAATCACAAAAAGGGATTTGTCCTACAAGTGAGTAGTACTGCGGCTTGAGCTGAAAACCTCCTCTCTGAATGGCAGGAGGGAGGATGGCTGATCGGTTGGAATATAACTGATCTGGACGGTTGAAATCTGCCAAGGTTCTGGTCTCTTCTATAGGTTGGATGATGCATGTAGGTGTAGTGTCTTCTTCAGTAATGATCTCCTTCTGATCATTCAGCTTCTGACCTGATGCATTACGCAGGTGACCATCTTGATCATGCAGGTCTCCTTTCTGATCGGGTATGAGAATCATAGGCGCTACCATGTCTCGCCGGTTAGTATCGATCGATATAAGATAAAGTGTATTGATCGATGTCAAGGGAAGGGTATCGGTCGACGAACGGTGGTTGTTCTCGATCGATGTGGTGGTGTGGGAATCGGTTGACGAACGGTTGGTCGTCGGTGGAAAGCGCGTATCGGTCGACGAACAGTAGAGGTTGTCGATAGATGAGGTGGTGATAGTATCGGCCAACGAACGGTTGTTGGTCGATGGTGGAAAGTGGGTATCGGTCGATACTGTGGTGTTGGTATCGATCGATGTGGAGCGTAGGTCTTTGCGGATGCTACGTTCCAGGTAGTTGGAAAGCGGGTATCGGTCGATACTGTGGTGTCGCTCATCCTTGTTGCTTCTGGTACTGCTGGGCATGTACCTGAAAGAGACAAAAAGAAAAAGAAAAAATTTTGTGTCAAAAGATTGAAAAATAAAAAGTAACAAATAACCTAGACTGAATCAGATTAAATCTAATAGTAATCTTAGTTCCCCGGCAACGGCGCCTAATTTGGTGTCACTCAAATGTATCTCTTATGTCGAATCTTCATAGTCATCTAGGAAAACTCTTCTTTAAGCACCAAAAGGCACCTAAATCATCACTTTACCACAAAATGCTCTTGAATCTGAAAACATACCTAATAGACTCCAAAACATAGATATTTATTATAAAAACATAATAATACCATGACCAAAAACGGGGCAAAATCATGGTATATCACCTACACAGATATTGTCAGGAGGACACACACACGCAAGGATAGGACATTTGTGGACTATCGTGCTGAAGAACTGTTACTCAAGCTGAGATTGAAGCAACACAGCTCTCTAACACCGAAGGATCACCACAAAGTCCATCAGAAACTTCAACTACTTCACGCCTCTTGCTAAACCAAGCTTATCGGAAGGTATGTCACTATTTTTCTATGTGTATGTGTTATTTTTCTTTCGGTTATGTTTTGTGATTATTAAATGTATGTTTTTAATATTTTGTTGTTTATAGTGTTGGAATTATGACTAAATAGATAGAAAAATATTTTAGAATGTTGAATGTGGAGTTGAAATTAGAAGTGAAGTGATAAGTTCATAGAATGTTGTTTGTGGAGTTGGTTTTTCACTGAATCTCTGTTTTGCCTTTTAATCTCAGGTAGTTAAGAGTAGGAGGGGCCATGTTTATGGACTCGACAATGTCAAGTATAGGGAACATCCGCCATCTGCAAGAGTTCCATCTTCTCTTGCCTGTAACCTGGATATTGAAATGCGTGTGGGTATCTTGAGACGAGCTTGCAAAATGTCACTGCTGATGTTAGTGCTGTGAAGGAGGACATGTCAACTATGAAGGACGACATGGCAGCAACAAGAGCTGCAGTCAGTCAGCTACTCCAAACATTTCTGGTCCACTAATCATCCACTCAGCAACAAGCAACTACTCCTCAGCCTCAAGACTCTTCGGCTCAGCCTTCTTCTCAACACGATGCCATCTAGATTTATGTTTTAGACTTGGTCTTTTGTACCATAACTCTCTCGTTTGGTCTCTTAAAACTTATGTCTCTTTGTTTCATATTATGATTAGGCTATTAATGTTAACTCTTTCTGAAATCAACTTTCGATTAATGGAATTTCATGTTCTGTTTAATTTGTGTTTTAGGATTTAATTAGAAATTGAAATAGTATAAATTAGATAATTAAAACCAAAACCAAAACAAAAAACACAAAATAAAACAAAATATAAAAACTAAAACCATATTCGTGGTTTATTGTTTCGTGGCTAGATAAAAAGGAAGAGCAACGATTTCTAATAAAAAACGTGCGTAGGGAAGCAACGAAATAAAAGTGGTTGTTAACGTAGTTATCCAAAGTCACGAATATGTAGTGGTAAACTGTTGTATATATAAACCACGCTTCAGAGACGTATACCGTGTCTTAATAAGCCACGAAACAATAGTGGCAAAAACGTGGTATTTAGGGTCCGACTGGTTTCCTCGCTACCACCCGCAAACGCAGCTTTTGCGGTTGATGGCGGTTGCTAGCGTTTTGCAACAATCATAAAAACCGCTACAAATCGCTTCAAACCGCTCCCAATCTCTTAAAATCAAAAGCTGGTTTCAGCTAGCGTTTGCGTTTGCGGGAGATTGCGGGTGAGTAAAAAAATATTTTTCTTTTAAATTTAAATTAAAATATAAAAATGAAAATAATATAACTAAAACTATATCTACCTTTTATATTTTAATTTAAATTCACTAAAATTATCATAATTTATTTATAAAAACTTTAAATTAAGAATTTTAACTATATTTTTCAATATTAAAAATATAAATGTAAATATATAAATATATAAATATATAAATATATAAATATATAAATATATAAATATATAAATATATAAATATATAAATATATAAATATATAAATATATAAATATATAAATATATAAATATATAAATATATAAATATATAAATATATAAATATATAAATATATAAATATATAAATATATAAATATATAAATATATAAATATATAAATATATAAATATATAAATATATAAATATATAAATATATAAATATATAAATATATAAATATAGAAATATATAAATATATAAATATATAAATATATAAATATATAAATATATAAATATATAAATATATAAATATATAAATAGATAAATATATAAATATATAAATATATAAATATATAAATATATAAATATATAAATATATAAATATATAAATATATAAATATAAATATATAAATATATAAATATAAATATATAAATATATAAATATATAAATATACATATACAAATAGATAAATAGATAAATAGATAAATATATAAATACATAAATATATAATTAATTATATTATATTATAATATAATATTAATTATAGAAATTATATTTTCATATAAATAAAAAAATAATATTGTGATTACTTATAATATATTAATAGTTATTATTTTTTATCATAAAAGTATGTTTTGATATTTTTATAATGTTATAATATGTTAATATTGGAAATTTATTATTGAACCGCTATAGTATCTTATAATCAACCAGTCATAAATGTCTCGCAAACGCACCAGTTTTTAATCGTTGTACCAGTCGTACAAATCGCCTAATAACGCTAGAAACCGCAACCACCCACATCCGCAAACTCCCGCAACCGCAATCGCAACCGCCGCGTTTCAACCAGTCAGACCCTTAAGCCACGCATAAGCCACGGTTTTCTTTTAGTCACGAAGTTATAGCTACAGTAGTTTTCCAACATAGAAACATGGTTTCTTTCATATAAGCACGGTTTTATACTATATAGCCACGGATTCTTAGTGGCTATGCGGTTTAATTTTACTAGTGTTCCCTTGTACAATTATCATATGAGAAACGAAATTAGTAGATCTATCGAGAAACTTTAAACGAGTATTGAACTTTTTAGATTTAACATCAACTAGATCATAACCCGCCCGACTGGGCGGGTCTTTATTTTTATGGTATATATAACATTTCAAAATTACAATTTAATGGTTCCAATTTTACTAAGTATTAGTATACTATTTAAACATTGTATTTTGTCACTGTATTATGTAACAGGGGCGTCGTAAAATGTTGTGACCCGTAAACATTTTAGCAATAGTTTATAAAGTTTTTATGGCTAAGTAAACTATTACTAAAATGAATACATATATGTATAAATAATTTTTAGAAATAAAGTAATATCATGATAGAAAACCCAAAAACAATAATAATAGTACCTTGGGCCGCAGTAATCTTTAATTTAATAATCAAGCCCATTAGATTTGTAGGCTATCATTGTTTCCAATCATCATAATTTTAAATATTCCTATTCATGTTTCCAAACACTAACTTTTTGTACTTCAGCTTTAATAGTATAGATTAAAGCTTATGATGGTACAATGATCATCATAAAGAACACGAGCTTTTTTTTTGTAACACCAACTTTTAGATAAATAGAGAAGAGGCCTCAGGCCAAAGAACACGAGCTTAATAATACAAAATTTCACTGAACCATAAAGAATCTTCATGATTCTTGAGCTCCTACTGTAAGATTTATAAAATAAACTTGTGATGTTCAAAACCAGAATTCCACATGGTTCTGTCGTTCATATATGATCATGTGTTCCATTTATTTACTAGTGATGTTATTTTTTTATTTTCAAAACTAAGAGTTTGGCTATTTTTAGTAGATTACATTAGGAGAGATGAAAGCAATGATCTAACAAAAATCTTAAGAAAAACACATAAGCTAAGCATATAGTTTTCATAAAAGAAATATAATTGTCAACGAAAGGGAACCCAAGCAAATATATGAATAGCATTGAGCGAGTGAGCTCGCTGCTTTACAGAGATACAAGACTCTCGATGTGATTTGGAAAAACATCCACAATGTACGGACAGCTGGTAACAATTCCACAATAGCTTCTGATCTCACCCTTAACTCCTTCAAACAGGGCTTCTCTAGTACTATTTCTACTAGGATCGAAATATACAATACAGTACGATTCTGACAACATAGATGGTGCAAAAACAAGCTCACCATCATCAGTAATACCCTTGAAAGTCACAGGATTACTCCTTAATTTGCTTTTACAAAATATGTTAAGAAAGCTTTGATGCGTCCATTCGTGCCCATCTGCATCCTTCAAAATGTAGAGATCAATATCAGGTAAGTCACACCGATAAGTAACCAAGGCTAGCCTTCCCTCATAAGGTATCATATCAAACGTCCAATGATTAGAAAAACCCTCCGGATATTTTATAGGACTGAAACTTTCAGATTTAACATCAAAGCTCATTATTATATTCTTATCATCATCAAGAAGATGAGCTTTATAATACAAAACTCCACTGAAGCATCCCCCATATCCTCTCGGATGATGCTTAGGGATACCTTTGGTTAATATTCTCCATGATTCTTGAGCTCCCAGTGTAAGAACCCGTAGCTCCTCGGAATGTAATATGAATAGAACTTTGTGTTTACCCTCCAACGGATCGTATCCTAAAAAATAAGACTTACAATCTTGACTCGGGATGTGTTCACTGGGATGTGGTAAGGTTGAGAACTGCCTCAAGGTTGGGTTCCAAATTTTGAATCCGGGTAGTAAAATCAAACCATGGACGCTCTCGGATAGAGCATAACTCGGACCATTAAGGTTTTTAATTTGGAAACTGTAGAAGGGAGGATAAGAGCCGTCAGGATTCAGGTGTTGAGGAAACGATATAACCAAACCTGTTGAAAAGGTGACCAGAAGACGCGGCCGCTTTGAAGATGACCGAGACCCGAACAAGTTGATAAAACTTGGAAGTTTGGTTAAAGAAGACAATAGCTTCGAGACACAACGAAATCTCACGACTGATTTCGCAGGAAGTCTTGAGAGTACCTCCAAGGTTAAATCAAGAGGAATATGTTTTGTTTCTGATCTGACATGTCTGGTTGATCTCTCTCGTCTTCTCTTGTTAATCCATCTCAACGATACTTTTTTCTTGAAAACCCTCATTCTTCTCAACGACTTGAATCGTTTCTACTTAGGGTTTGATATATGTAATTCCGTATAGGCCGCACGATATACGATATCTGACCTGGAAAAATCCCCCTATATATTAAAAAAAAATATTACAATAACTTTGACACATGTTATCACTAGAATGTTTCTCAAAGTTTTTAGAGAATATTATTAGTCCATATAAATGTATAATATATATTTTATTAAATTAACTATACACTATTATTAATGATCTTTATTCTTTACTTATAAATTACAGAATTACCTAATGTGTTCAACACACATATATAATTAATATATATGACATGTGTTTTCTTACACCATGTACACTAAAACAATCAAAATACTTTTTAACAGATAAATATAAATTATATTTAAAATTAAATTTTTATTTATATTGTAAATTTTCTTTTATCAATATTTTAATATAAATTTGATTTTAATTAAACAAAAACAAATTAAGATAAACAAGAAACTAATAATTTTACGATTAAAATCTTATAACTTTCTAAAAAAACTGTATACATTTTTGAAAATTTTAGTAATATAATTTTAGAATTTAAAATATATAATTAAATGATATTTCAAAATTTTTAATGCCGTTATTGAATATATTTATTTTAATGATGATTTATGAGTTATTAACATATTCTAAAAAAAATTCCAAATATATAAATCGACACTAAATGTAATTTATGAGTTATTACCATATTGATAATGCTATATTAATATATATATATATACATAGAAATATATATATATATATATTTAATGTTGATTTATGAAATACTACCATATTCTAAAAAAATCCATAATATCAATTATTACCATATTTTGAATGCCATATTAGAAAGAAAAAAAAAAATATATATATATATATATATATATATTAAGGATGATTTATGAATTATTATCATATTCTACAAAAATTTCAAAAATACAAATCGACACTAAATGTATTATATGGGTTATTACCAAATTTTATAAAGTTTACCTAAAATATAAACTAACATTATACGTAATTGTCCATATCATATTAAGCTATAAGCCATGTTACGTCATATTATTAGATAAAATTTATGTACCCTTTATTCTTTTTGTTAAATTTATATTACAAAAATAAATTAAACAATCACAGTAAATATATAACACAACAAACTATTTTTCGTATATGTTATATTTCGAATATTTAAAAAAACGACTATAAATTGATGAAACCTTTAAAATTCAACATAGAATTTTTTTGTGATTAATATTTTGTTGTTATAACAAGATAAAAATGATTATACAATCAATGAGTAGAAAATATTATTTAATAGATATTCAGAATATATATATATATATATGTATATATAACTCTTATGAAGTTTAAATTAAACTATATAACATCTAAAAATATATAAAGTTTTTAATTTTCAAATTGCATTGAACAAGTATTAAGGACTTAATACTAAGGACAACAATGTAGAACGATCGACTTGCAGCTATCTCTACGAAGATATATACATCCAGTTTAAGCTAAACTGATAGTCAAAAAAAAATACAACACAAGAAGAAAATAAAGATCTCTTTCAGTTTCAGTCACAATTTATTCTTGTGGCTGATTTGTTATGTAAAACATATAGAACCATGATTTCTACGATATGGCAAACTGAATAATTTGTTTATATAAAGATAAAAACATAAATAAAATATACAAATTTGATACCAAAATATGATGAACGAAAACGGTTTCGTGTGGAGGCGAGACACTCTAATTTCCTTAATTCTTTAATTACATGTAGTGTAGTGTGACAGTGGTTACGCAATCAGAATCCTAGGATACAACCACACTTCGACTATTCTGCTTCACTCATAATATAAGCTAATGAACCTATTTTTGTGTTGTACTCTCAGAAAAACAAACTAAAAATAATCAAAACTATTTCATAATGGAAGAATTATTTTTTCTTGTTTGTATCTATGTTCCTTCTCTCAAATGCTTAGGAGAATTTATATAGAAAGAAGTAAATGAGAACACCATTCATACCTTTGATAAAAACCATCATATTATGATTTCATTCTTTCAAAATCAAAACAAAACGTAAAATGTGTTATTATGGAGGATTTAAGTTACATATCAATTACTATAATGAAAATTTATTACCATTGACTATGTAACTTTCAAGCAAAAACATTATTAATTAATATTAATAATATATTTTGCAATGGGTTTACATTTTTATATTTAAAGAAATATAAAATATAACCATAGATATGATTTAAAATAAACTAGAAGACATAATGTCTAACTAATAAATTTTAATCCAACTTCAAACCCAAATATCCAAAGTGATATATTTGCTAGTTTTATGCTTAGCCAAATTTAAAACTCTATAAGTTTTATAAACCACTCACTTTAGACCTCAATTTATCATTCAATACAAATTTTATTTTGACATATGAATACACTTTTTTCATTTAACATGCATATTTGCATTTAACATCTCTTAAAAGTTTAGAAAAATTAATCTACAACTTCTTTAGATTTAAATGAATAAAAAGCAATTTTGGAAATTATTAAAATTTTCTCAAAAATGTATTTCATTCTCAGAAATTAAAATTTTACATACAAATATTTTTCATAGTTATCTCAAGCTGATTTTAAAATCCTATTTGTATGCTTTGGATTTATCCAAAAACGTATTTTTGCTTTTAGCAAATATACATATCATTACAAGATATATTTGTGACATCAAAATAACAACTCTTTGGTTTCTTTCAACCATATTGACTTTGAAACTACAATATTCATGTCAGTTTCAGACATATTGATCTGAAAAGTATTTTTTTCATGATCGATCTTTATACGACTCGCGTTTAAAGTATTGACGAAATAAATTTGTTGATCAATGTCAACAACATTTTATTTCTAATGGTAAATAATTTAAATGTGGTAGACCTCTCCCAAATTTAATTTTGGGCGTCGACTCACGAATCCATTTCCATTCATACCATTTGATCTTTTAAAAGATCTGATGTTTGTTTATAACCATGTTATCACCATACTTAAAACTCACAAAAATAATCTTCTCCCATGGTCATTCATGTGCCTAATAATTAAATTAAGTTATTCCACAAATCTGAAACAATAAATCAAAACATTACACACATTTTTGATAATTAAAGTAAATCACCAAGTCAAAGCAATAAAACATTTTGACAAATATAGAGAAACGTTTATTGTCTATTTAATAACAAAATTTAAGATAACAAAACAAAAAATTTAAGTCTAAGTTGTTATGCATTCTTCGTATTTAAAGCAAAGGTCAAAGGCTTAACGGAAAAGCACTAAAACAGGCCAAGTTACAATGAAGACCATATGCCAATAAAAAGGGGAAAAAAAGTTTACTCTTTAATCCTATTAAACAGACATATATACGTTTTAATTGTATTAAGTTCTGAAATTTAATAATATTAATAAAAATACTCAATAAACCCTGCAAATAGGCCGAAGGTTAAGCGCAAGATTTGAAACGAATGCTCAGAAATGAATTCAACTCATGATCATACAATGAACATAAATGATAATTTCACAGATCCATGTAAGTTAGAATGCGAGTAAAACTAATAATCGATTAATCCAAGTCAAAGAAATATCATTTTGAAATAATCCAAAAAGATCTTATTCCAGCATATTTTCAACCTGTTCTTATCAAAACTCAACAAATAACAGTTTTTGTTAGTATAATTAAAGAATTAAAATTGTAGGACCATAATTTCTACGATATGCAAACTGAATAGTTTGTTTATATAATGATAAAAACATAAATAAAATATACAATAATTGATACCAAAAAAGGATGAACGAAAACGGTTTTGTGTGGAGGCGAGATACTCTTTCCTTAATTCTTTAATTACTCGTAGTGTGACGATGTTTACGCAATCAGAATCCCATGATATATACAACCACACATCGGCTATTCCGCATCACTCAGAATATGATTTATTTAAGATTATTAAAATCCTACAATGGAAATTTTGTGATCAAGAGTTTAACTTTGTCGTTATAATAAAATCATATAAATATGAAATCTCATTTAATTTATAATCAGATTTTATATATATATATATATATATCCATATCGTTTAAATAAATAAATATCATATATAAAATACATAAAATGTTAATTTCAAAACTTGCATTGGGTAGGAAGCATCAATTAATAAATATTCATATTGATAAAATTAAAATTTTTGTTCCGGTGAATATAAAAATACTAATAAAATCATATGAGTACACGGCCTCAATAATAAATATTCCTATTAAAATATATTATATATCTATGTAAATATTATTTAATTATTAATATGCCCTATAAATAAATAAAAGATTGTTTAGCTTTTTTACTAACAAAATTACTGTAAATAAAAAAACGATTATTTTTTTATGTGTTTACTCCAATTTAATTATATACATGATACTTATTTATTTATAAATTATTTAGTATATTTATTATTGCATAATACGTAAATGAACAAAAAATAACATGTATAAATCATTTGTATACATAATTAATGGTCTTTGTTTTAGTAACACATAATTAATATCCATTCCGCGCAAGCACGGATATCAAAATTTAATTGATCATATTATTTCAGAGATACATTTCTTTATATTGAAGTGGGAATGTGAATAGAAACATTATGGTGATATCATTAAAATCCAATGTGAATTAAGTAGGTTTAAAAAGAAATATCAGCATGACCCGATACTCAACAATCTTATATTAACGGTTAATGACCATATGTTTGGAAACTTGTGAAACAATGGTTAAATAATCAAAATTAGTATTCAAACAATTTTTTGTATATAAATTTCATCCCGCACATGAGCGCGGATAATCAACCTAGTAACATATTATTTTTCTGTGGCGTTATGTATTTAAAAAAAAAATTAGATGTATTACTATACACACATGTATTAAATGCGTAGCTTAGAAAAAAAAAATATC